CTTCGAGAAGGTGAGCCGGGCAGGGCGGGCCCTGGGAGCCAGGATGGGGGGCAGGGGGGTGCAGGCCGGCCGGCCCTGGGAGCAGGTGTTGGTCATATGTGGCATTATTCTGCATCTGTTCCCTGGCTGCCACCCAAAGGTGGCTGCATCTCACCACTGCGCGAGCCATCCCCAAGAAGAGTTATATATGGCTGTTCCCCAGCTGCCCCACCCCAGAGGTGGCTGCATTTCCCTCTGACCCTCTCTCTGGTTCAGGACGACGACACTAATTTCCACATGGATTTCATCGTGGCGGCGTCGAACCTGCGGGCTGAGAACTACGACATCCCGCCTGCCGACCGGCACAAGGTGGGCTGCGGCCTCGGCCGGTTGGGGGGAAGTGGGGGGCTTGCTGCGGCTCTCTCTCCTCCCCCCCCCCCATGCTGATGTCTCTGTCCCTCCCCAGAGCAAGCTGATTGCTGGGAAGATCATCCCGGCCATCGCCACAACGACAGCAGCAGTGGTGGGGCTGGTGTGTCTGGAGCTGTACAAAGTGGTGCAGGGCCACAAGCGGCTAGAGTCCTACAAGAATGGCTTCCTTAACCTGGCCCTGCCTTTCTTCGGCTTCTCCGAGCCTATCGCCTGCCCCCGCAACAAGGTGAGGGCCACTTTCCTGGGGGCCCCAGCCCTTATCCCCTGCCCCCTAACAACAAGGTGGGTCCCCCCAATCTGTGCCCCGCCCTGTACTCACTCGTCTCCTCTCCACCCCCCTCCCCCTGACATACAATGATGAGTGGCTGTGGTAGGGGGTGGTTTGGGCTGGGCTGGGCTGGGCTGGGGGTTCCTCCCCCCAGTGTCTCTGACCCATTCTCCTCCCTCCCCCCCCCCCCCAGTACTACGACATCGAGTGGACGCTGTGGGACCGGTTCGAGGTGCAGGGGGTGCAGCCCAGTGGGGAGGAGATGACGCTGCGCCAGTTCCTGGCCTACTTCAAGGTGAAACCTGGGTGTGGGGGTGTCAGAGCGAGGGGGGGGTGTGTGTCTGATTTTCCCCCCTCCCCCACCACGCAGAATGAGCACCAGCTGGAGATCACTATGGTGGAGGGCGGGAAGCTGATGGAGGAGGGTTTGGGGGGATCGGGGTGTCTGGGTGCTGTCTGACACCCCCCTGTACCCCCTGCAGAGCACGCACGGCTGGAGATCACCATGTGGGGGGGCGGGGAGATGACGGAGAGGGTTGGCGGGGGGGCTGAGCGCTGTCTGACCCCCCCATCCCCCCTGCAGAGCGAGCACCAGCTGGAGATCACCATGCGGGGGGGGCTGATGAAGGCGGGTTTGGGGGGATCGGGAGGGGCTGGGCACTGTCTGACACCCCCCCGTCCCCCCTGCAGAGCGAGCACCGGCTGGAGATCACCATGCGGGGGGCGGGGGGGCTGATGAAGGCGGGTTTGGGGGGATCGGGAGGGGCTGGGCACTGTCTGACACCCCCCCGTCGCCCCTGCAGAGCGAGCACCGGCTGGAGATCACCATGCTGTCGCAGGGCGTCTCCATGCTCTACTCCTTCTTCATGCCGCCCGCCAAGCTGCGTGAGCGCCACGACCAGCCGTACGTACCTGGGGGAGCCCTCGGGGGGGTGGGGCGGGTGTCCTCCTTCCTCTGGGGCAATTGGGGGCCAGGTTTACCTGGTTTGGAGGCTCTCCTCTGTGTCTCAGGGTCTGGGGGGATCGGGGTGGGGGATTCCCCGCTTCAGGGGCTATCCTGGTCCTGGGGGTCTGGCCGTTGGCTGCAGGTCTGGGGGAGGGTTCCCCCCTCTGGGGGCGGTTCCCACCGGCTCCGCCCTGACCATGCCCCGCCCCCAGGATGACGGAGATTGTGACCAAGGTGTCGAAGAAGAAGATCGGGCGGCACGTCAAGGCCCTGGTCTTCGAGCTCTGCTGCAACGACGACAGCGAGTGCGACATCGAGGTGCCCTACGTCCGCTACACCATCCGCTAGGGGCGGGGCCTCCCCATGCCCCGCCCCCCGGTTCGCTGGGCGGGGCCTCCCCACGCCCCGCCCCCTATGGTTAAAGTGATGCAAAACATGGACTAAGGGGGCACCCCCCAGGAATTGGTCTGAGGTTCAGGGCTGGGTGGGGGAGTCCTGCCCCCCTTCCCTGCTGGGAACCCCCCCATGGTCCTGTTCATGTTCTTGAGGCGCTTTAACCCCCCCCTTACTGTTAGTCGTGTTGTCTTGACTCCGCCCCCTCCCCCGCACACACTCACTTGCTCACTGACGGGGGATGGGGCGTCTCCTGCCCTGCGGTGCCGGTTCTATATGGGGGCGGGGGGGGGCGTGTCAGTGGGGGAACCCACCCCCTGCTGCTGGAGCCGGTGCCCGTCTGCTGCTTGTCTGGCTGGAGGCAGCGCGGGGGTGGGAGTTAGTGCAGAACTGGTGAGAGGAATTACTGAATAAATAGACGTTTGCAAAACCTGCCGGCGCCCCCATGTCTGGTCATTTGGGGGGGGGGGGGAACCTGCCCCATGGCATTCCATGGCTGCCCCCTTGGAAGGGGAGGCCAGGTCCTGGGTGCTGCATGGGGGGGCTTAGGAGCCCAGGGGAGGGGACCAGGGGAGGGCACTCCCAGCCTCCCCCCTACAAAGGCAGCCCAGATCACAGCTCTGTTCCCAGCACAGGCACCAGTCTGACCGGCGGGGGGGGGTGTGCAGCCACTTTCCCTGGGTGGTTTGTCTCTTGGGGGCTGCTCATTCCCTCTGCAGCCCAGCCTGTGCCCCCTCAGCCCTCCCCATGTCCTGCTTGGGGGCACCTACGGCCCCCGCTCCCTAGGGGAGGATGGGGGCCCGAGCTCAGAGCTTCTGTCTCCTACCCCTCCACTGTGCCCTCTGCTGCTGCAAGGAGTCGAGTGGCAATGAGTTCCCCAGCTCCCAAGGCCTGTGTAGTGAGAAGAGCTGTGCTGGGGGAGCCCTGGCCTTTGGTTAACAGCCCCCCGCCCTGTGTGGCTGTGCAATTCCCCTGGAATCTATTCACGGGGGTGGATTGTACCCCAACTCTGGATTGCACCGGGCACAGATCTATGCAAAAACCTGGGTGGGGCCATGCCTCAGTTTCCTCTCCCCCCGCCCCCCGTGGGCAGCCAGTAAATGCCTAGCAGGGAGTTCCAGGCAGGCTGTCTCGCCCCCTTGGGGCTAGAGTGTCCCTCACCCCAAACATCACTGCCGGGGTCCCGCTCGCTCCAGGTCTGCCCCGTCATAAACGAGCTGCAGCTGCTACTGAGGAAATGCAAGCGTTGGGTGCAGGGCCAAACCGGCGCCCGCATGGTCCAGGCTTGTTCCTAGCCCCGGCGGGCCCTCGTGCCCTTCGGGGCTGGGGAGCTCCTGCTTAGGCGAGAGCTGGATTTTACCCCCGTGCTTGGCAAACGGCGCTGAGGGGGAAAGGCCCTCGCGTGTCCCTGCGGCAGCGCTCGCCCGCGGGGGTGGCTGACGGGCGCCCGGCGTGTCGTCCTCGTGGCCGCGCCTCTGACTCGGCAGGGGAGCCCGGCGCTGGAGCGGGCGGGGCGCAGCTGCGGCCTCATGGCGTCGTCCCAGGTGCCCGTCTGCCGGGCGGGGCTGGGATTTCCCCTCGGGCCCGGCTCTCCCAGCTGGGGGTGGGGGGGTTACCCAAGGGGGTGGTGCTCCTGGGTGGGAGGGCTCCTCAACGGGGGGGTGCTGGGGGCCATGTTCCTGTCGTGGGGGAGGGGTTGGTGGGGGGAGGGGCTCCTGAAGGGGGGAGGGGTTGGTGGGGGAGGGGCTCCTGAAGGGGGGGTGGGGGCGTGTTCCTGTTGTGGGGGAGGGGTTGGTGGGGGGAGGGGCTCCTGAAGGGGGGGGTGGGGGCCGTGTTCCTGTTGTGGGGGAGGGGTTGGTGGGGGGAGGGGCTCCTGAAGGGGGAGTGGTGGGGGCTGTGTTCCTGTTGTGGGGGGAGGGGCTCCTGAAGGGGGGGGGAGGGGTTGGTGGGGGGAGGGGCTCCTGAAGGGGGAGTGGTGGGGGCTGTGTTCCTGTAGTGGGGGAGGGGCTCCTGAAGGGGGGGAGGGGTTGGTGGGGGGAGGGGCTCCTGAAGCGGGGGTGGTGGGGGCCGTGTTCCTGTCGTGGGGGAGGGGTTGGTGGGGGGAGGGGCTCCTGAAGGGGGGGAGGGGGTGCTGGGGGGAGGGGCTCCTGAAGGGGGGGTGCTGGGGGCCGTGTTCCTGTAGTGGGGGAGGGGTTGGTGGGGGGTTCCTGGGGTGGGGGAGGGGTTACCCAAGGGGGGTGCAAGGGGCGTGGTTACTGGGGGGGAGGGGTCTCATTGACGTGGAGCCCGTCGCCGCCGGAGGCAACGTGTTCCACAGCGTTCCATGTGTCCCGATCTGGCGGGAAGCGCGGCCATTGGCCCGCTCCACGTGTCAGTCGCGGGCTTGGGCGGGGCTCGGGGGGCGCGGTCAGGCGTGGGGGGCGGGGCTGTCATGGCTGGGCCGCTGTCCCTATTGGTTGTTTTGTGCTGTCAGTCAAAGTGATTGGCGCTATTTTGAGCGTCGGGAGCCCCGCTCTGCGGCGGGATTGGCGAGGAAAATGCCTCCCGCCCGCCCGTTGGCCGCTGCGCGGTGAGTCTCAGGCCTTGGGGGGACCGCCAATCCTGCCCTCCGACAGCAATTGGATGGCTTGCTGGCCTAATTCTGTCTCATTGGCCTCTTCGCCTGTCAATCTACCTCTGAGGCGGAGGCTTGTGAATTCATTGCCCCGCCCTCGAATGATGATTGGGTTAACTATAAAATGACACACTCTTATTGGTCCTCTTCGCCGTTTGTCAGAGTGTGGGCGGGGCAAACTTCGTTTGGTCCCTTCGTGTGGTGCGATTGGGAGGCCGTAGTTGTCAATCAAAAATGCGGGGCTGAAAGCCACCTCCAGCCCCGCCCTCCGCGGGGATTGGCTGGATCTTGGGTGCTCTCCCTTTCCATTGGTTGGGCTCGCTTGTCCATCATGCAACGGGCGGGGCTTCGAGGCGTGTCAGCCCTGCCCACCGCCGGGGATTGGCGATGGCGGGTACTTAAGGCCTCTGCTATTGGTCGGTGTGCGCTGTCCATCGCGCTGGGTGGGTGGGACTATCGTGAGGAGGTGGTTGGAGCGTCCGGGCGGCGGCTCAGCCGGCAGTGGAGGTGGCCGAGAGAGCCCGCAGTGAGTGGGGTCGGTGCGGGTCGGGTTGCGCGGGAACCGCGGCGCTCCGTGGCCGGCTGGGCGCGGCGCTGGGGAGCGGGGCGGCGGTTGAGGAGGGTGGGGGTCGTTCTGCGCATGCGCCGCTCGCGGGCGGCTTGGGGGGTTGGTTTGTCTGTGTGTATGTGTGTGGGGGGAGGGTCACGCGCCCCGGGGCCGCTTGGCTTGCGGGAGGAAGCGGTAGCTGATTGGTTGGGAGCTGTGGGAGGGGGCGTGGCCCTGGAGGGGTCGGCGCGCGCGGCGCCGGGCGCGGGGGGGAATAGAACCCTGGGTGCGGTCTGGAAGTTTCTCTGCGCATGCGCGGCCGACTGGGCGGTGGGGAGAGGGAGCGCGAGCCACCTCCCTTCCGGGCCGGGGGGGCGGGTCCATGTGGCAGAGGCTGCGGCGGGGGTGAGCTCGGCGTGGGGGAGGGGCTGCTGCGCCCCGGGGCGGGCGCTGGGCCGGGGGGGGGGTGTTTATTTGGGAGGGAGCCTGTGGATGAGTTGGTGGCGGGGGGGTCTATATGGGAGGGGCGCGGGGGGGTGTCTCTATGGGGGGGGTCAAGCCTTTGCCTGGGGCAGAGGTGGGGAGGGAGGATGTTTGGCCCTGTACTACTGGGGCCGGGGGGTGTCTCTATGGGGGGGTGGAAAGCGCTTTGCCTGGGGCAGAGGTGGGGAGGGATGATGTTTGGCCCTGTACTACTGGGGCCGGGGGGGTGTCTCTATGGGGGGGGTCAAGCCTTTGCCTGGGGCAGAGGTGGGGAGGGAGGATGTTTGGCCCTGTACTACTGGGGCCGGGGGGGGGTCTATATGGGGGGGGTCAAGCCTTTGCCTGGGGCAGAGGTGGGGAGGGAGGATGTTTGGCCCTGTACTACTGGGGGGGGGGGTTTGCCTGGGGCAGAGGTGGGGAGGGAGGATGTTTGGCCTGTACTGGTGAGGCCAAGGGGGGGGGGGGGGTGTTTGCTTTGTTGGGGGCAGGGGAGCAGGCCTGTTTCCCCTGGGTCTCCAGCCCAGGGTGTGGGGAGAATCTTGGCTGGCCTGGTGGCTGGGGCACCCCAGTTCTGGAGTTTGGGGGGCAGGTGCTGGCCTCTGGGTTGTGGGGAGGATCCCAGTCATGTGATCGTCCTCTCTGGTGCCTGGGGTGGGGCAGCCGTGGACACCCTGTACCCAAACCCCCCCCTACAGCTGCTGTTTGAGCAGCTCACTAGCAGGCGCCTCTAGGCAGCTGGCCTGAGGGAAGGCTTCAATGGGGTAGGCAGGCCCATCCTTGGTGAATCTGAGGGGAGGTCCCGACTTCATCTGGCTGGCCGTTCACACCTAGGCTCTCTCCTTTAGCCCCTGCAGCCTCACCCTCCTGGCCCTTCACTTCCTGGTGTGCACAAAGAGACAGCTCCTGTGCCAAGGAGAGAGGTGGGAGGTGCTCCCTGGTGACCTGGGAGAGCCCCCTTCTGGTTATACACCTGTTCTTGTAGCCCTTTGTTGATTGCCCCTCCAGGCTGGGTGCTGAACCCCCATGGCTGACCCATGAGTTTACCAAACCTCAGGACCATCGGCCTTGAGGAACTTGAGTGTTCTGTCAGACTTCTGTGCAGAGCCAGCCTGTGCTCAGCTCTGTTCTCTGGGCTGGCTCAGATCTGCTGACACATGCGCCCCCCTCACTCCCGCCAGGTTCACTGCTCTCCTGGCAGGAGCAAACTCTGCAGGTGTTGAGTCTACTGTTTGGCTGCTCTAGCCAGGTTTGGGGGTGAATTGGCCTCTGAGATTATCTGTGCTGTGGTGGTCTTGCATTTGTGCCCTGGACTCTGGTGTACTGCTGGGTGATCTGAGACTAGGAGTAGATAGGGGTTGGGGTAGGAGCCTAGGACCTGGGTCTAATCCCAGCTCTGCTGCTAACTCCTTTGTGCCCTTCTGTGCCTCAGTTTCCATCCCTGTACAATGAGATGAGTGTGCTCGAATATGGTGAGGATTTAAACCCTGTTGGTCTTGATGCTTCCAGCTCCTTCTGCCCTGTAAAAATTGCCCTGTCTCCTCCCCACTGAGGCCTAGAAACCTGAATCTCTTTAGTTTGGGATTTACCAGCTGCTGACAGGATTTGCTCCCTGCTAGCTCAGTTTAATGCACGTAGCAAGGGTCCCCTGGCAGCCCATGGTGGTACTCCTGTTCAGACCTTCCCCTGTGGCAGAGGGTTTACGTTTTGCCCTTTGAATGTAGGCAACAGGTTTGAAGCAGACAGAAGGAAGCACCTCACCCAGCACAGTCACCCTGGGTGGGGGACTTGCTGCCAGGGGCTGTTGTGAACACTGGGCTCAAAAGAGAACAAGAGAAGTTCCTGGAGGGTAGGAGTCAGGGATGCAGTCCCATGCTCCGGGTGTCCCTAATTCTCTGACTGCCAGACGCTGGGGCTGGCTACTGGGATGGGTCACTCGATAACTGCCCTGTTCTGTTCATTCCCTCTGAAGCTCTGGCACTGGGCACTGTCAGAGACAGGACACTGGGTTTGCTGGACCGTTGGTATAGTATGGCTGTTCTCATGTTCCTGCTTCCTGATCATTTAAGTCCTGAAAGCCCCCCTTTCCCTGACCCCCCCCACCCTCGGAGCAGTCAGTGTCAGCGGGGCAGGTTGGTTAATTCCATGGCTGCTGGAAATTGCTGGTCTAACTTTTTCCAAGTGCGGGTGGGTGATCCTGGGAATGCCATTCACGCGCCACATGTGGGTGTAACTTGCCTGCCTCTGAAACTTCCTGTTGCAGCCCAGTGGCCAAAGTGGTGAATCACCCGGCTGCTGGGCCCCTCCCCTCTTAAAAACACACAAAGCCAGAGTTTGGTGTGAGACAGCCTGGCCTTAGGAAGCCAGCCACCCCGCTTAGCAAAGCTGCTAGGACCTCGGCCCCAGCCAAGCTGGCTTGGACCTCAATCCCTACCGCCAGGACTCTGCAAGTGGAGAGTGGAATATAGCTTCATTGGAGTGCTGGGTCCCATCTGTGGTGGCAGTCTGACTGCTTTGGGGAGGGTTAACCCCAGCCGCTCCAGGGTGAGTGGGACAGCAATCGGCAAGTTGCTGGCGGAACAGTGTCATAAATAGTCACAGCAGTACCTAGCGCTATTCAGCAGCAGATCTCAAAGGGCTTTGCCAGGGAGTCTCCCATATCTATAGATGGGGAAATTGAGGCACAGAGTCAGTGACTTGCATGTGGTCACCCTGTGGCAGGCAGGAATAGATCCTGGGTCTCTGGAGTTCTATCCCCGACCTCCCCTTCTGTGTCTCACGGCTGCACTGCGTAGGCCCCAGCAGGTCAGGGTGGGAGGGGGGCATTGTTCTGCCACAGGCCCCAGCCCAGAGAGCTGACATCTTAATCAAAGGGTAGGAGAGTAACTGGAGAAACTGAGTCACTAGGGCAAGGCTCCTCAGCTGCCTAAAATGGGGCTAGGTGCCAGCTTCCTTTGGGTTCTGGTGGCTGGCTCAGGGGTCACACGGAACATGGCAGAGGCAGGGGTCTAACCCAGACCTCTGTGCAGCCTGAGGCTGGGAATTCATACAGGCCAGCTTTGCTCTGTGAGCTAGGGGAGCAGGCCTTGCTTTTTCAGTCATCCCTGCAGAGCCTGGAGTCTAGTCTGGCCCATGCCCTGGGTTTCCAGTGAGGGGCAGGGGAGAGGCTTGACTGAGGCTGGAAAGTCTAGGGTATAAGTGGGGGGCTCTGGGCTTGTCTACATCACTCAGTTCCCTTCCCCGATCACTTTCTCTAGCATTTCCCCTGGGCTAGCTCACATGCCCCATAGAGCACCCCACATGGCACCGGCTTCCTTGTTCCAGCTGTCAGAGCCTGGGGGGACATCCAGGCCTTGTGCCTGCCTAGCAGATTCCCCTCCATGGAGTCTGCCTCCAGCAGGCTGGGGTCTAGCTTGCCGCAGTGGCGCCCCTGTAACGGGAGTCCCCTCTCCCCTGGGCCAGAGATGGCTGCCATACGGAAGAAACTGGTTATCGTGGGAGATGGCGCCTGTGGCAAGACCTGCCTCCTCATCGTCTTCAGCAAGGATCAGTTCCCAGAGGTCTACGTCCCCACCGTCTTCGAGAACTACGTGGCTGACATCGAGGTGGACAGCAAACAGGTACCATGCCGCCAGACTGGCTGGGGCGGGCTGTTACCCTTGCCTCCCTCCACAGGGAGGAGAGCTTGGGGTCTGTCCTGAGGAGGGTGGGAGGGGAGACTGGCTTTGGACCAGCCGCGGATGAGGAGGCAATGGCACCCTGCACCCTCCGGAGTTAACAGGAAGTGGCTGTGCTGGGGGAGAACTGTCTAGCTTTGATGTGCCCGCCTGCAAGTGCTGTGCTGCAGTTAACTTCCCCAGGGTTGTTAACTCTGAATATCCACTGCCCCTTCCCTGCGCTGCTCACTGACACCGATGGGCCAGGGGATGAACCGCAGCAGGGAGTGTCTTCCCTCTGGGTGGGTCTGAACAAACTGACAATGCTGAGGTGGTGCACGGGGGCCTTAGTCTCTGGGCAGGCCACTTGTTGCCATCCCTGGGAGCTTCGCTGCGGGTAGGGAGACACTATCTTTACCATGCCCCCAGCTGTTACTGGAGCCTGGCCGTCTGCCCAGCAGCCTGGCTCAGGGCTGGGACAGATGCGGTGCTTATGAAGCCGTGGGGGAGGCAGGCTGTGGACACACACAGTAGCTAGAGTAGAGAAGTGGCCTTTGAAATCCATGTGTATCTCAATGGGCAGGCTAGTGATTGGTCCCCAAAGAACCTGGACTACACAGGCCTTGAGAGTGCGTGGAGTGTCTGACCTGGGGGGAGGCCCAGGGTGAGTACTCTGCCCCTGGCAGGGTCCCCAGGTGGGAGATGCCAAGGCAGCCCTGCATCTGAGCTGTGGGAAAATCTGGTCTCTCTGGCTCACTTCTGTTCTGAACAAACAGTACTTTGCTGGAGGGAGCTGGCTGGGGCCCAGTAGCGTTCTCAATGCCCTGAGAGAACAGGCCGCAGGTGCTGAACTGATGACTGTGGATTGCCGGCGTCTGCAGCCCAGGCCCTGTCTGGAGCTCCTGCCCTCCATGGTGATGGCTGGAGGCCTGAGACAAAACTGGGTGCCCGGGAGTGGTGAGGAACAGTCAGCTCAGGAACCCTGACCGGGTCTGGCCACCCCAAGCCAGTGACTTTCCAGTGGGAACTGGAACCCGGGATGGCCTGTGTCCATCTGCCCCAACAGCAGCGCCTGGGAGGGCAGCTACCCATTGCCACCCTTGCCTCATACAGGTGGAGCTTGCGCTGTGGGACACGGCTGGCCAGGAGGACTACGACCGCCTGAGACCCCTGTCCTACCCTGACACGGACGTCATCCTCATGTGCTTCTCCATCGACAGCCCTGACAGCTTGGGTGAGTGCTGGGCAGCCGGGTGCCCCCTGGGCCAGAGGGCGCTGGGGAGATCCAGCTGGGTCCCTGTGGCCGCAGCCAGAGCCAGATCTCAATACTGGGCAGAGGGTGCCCAGGTGAACTGTGGCTCAGGCCCCTGTAGTGGCCAGGTCACACAGCAGCTTGAGTTTGCTACAGGCCCTGAGCTGGCATGTCTAACCACTAGCCCCCACGCCCTTCCCAGTGCATGGGACAGAATCGGGAGTCCTGGCTCTCAGCCCACCTGCTCTAACCACTAGCCCCCACGCCCTTCCCAGTGCCAGGGTAGAGCCCAAGGGTCCATGCTGCCAGCCCAGGCCTGGGGGAGCTGGGCATGATCTGGGTGCCCTGATGCTGATCCTTCCCCCTGTGCAGAAAACATCCCGGAGAAGTGGACCCCGGAGGTGAAGCATTTCTGTCCCAATGTGCCCATCATCCTGGTGGGCAACAAGAAGGACCTGCGCAATGACGAGCACACGCGCCGGGAGCTGGCCAAGATGAAGCAGGTAAGCCCCTGTCCTGAAGGAGAGCGCCTCCCTGCTCTCTGTCCTGGGGACCCTGGGGCTCCACCCCCCCAGGGAGAGTGCCCCCTGCTGTCTGTCCTGGGCACCCTGGGGTTGCCCCCACCCTTAAGGAAAGTGCCTCCTTCTGAGATTGATCGCTCCTCCCTGATTAACCCTTTAGATCCCAGGACAGTGCTGCTGCTTGGGCTGGCTGTACTGGGCTCTCAGCCCTGCTCTTACCTGCCAGACCCCACTCCAGCAGGGGATGGAACCCAGGAGTCCTGGCTCCCAGACCCCACTGCCCCCAGGATTGGGGAGACCCTTGGCGCTGACCACTTTTGCTGCCCCTGCAGGAGCCGGTGAAGCCGGAGGAGGGCCGGGACATGGCCAACCGGATCAGCGCCTTCGGGTACCTCGAGTGCTCGGCCAAGACAAAGGACGGGGTGCGCGAGGTCTTTGAGATGGCCACACGGGCTGCCCTGCAGGCCAAGCGTGGGCGCAAGAAGACCTCCTGCCAGCTGCTGTAACTCCCCCTGCTCCCACCAGGCCCTCCCTCTGACCCCTCCCACTTGGGGGGGCGGGGGCTCAGGGCCCCTCATCACAGCCCCATGGCTCCTTGGGCAGAGCTGCCCATCTCCTCTGGCTGCTGGAGCCTCCCACAGCTGTTTGGGGGGGTTCGTGGCACAGCCCCCTCAATCCCACCCCTGGGCGGGCCCCCAGCCTCTCTCCTGGAATGGTTTGGGAGGGGGGGCTACCCCATGGCAGCTCCACTGCCTCCTGGCAGCTCTGCCCCAGCTCTTCCAGTCCCCCACTCAATTGGAGCCTGAAATCACAGGGCTGCCCTGCCCCTTGTGACCCGCAGCCCCTTGCTAGGGGGCTCAGTGCTGCAGGTGTCAGCCCTCTACTGTGCCTCCCATTGGCCATGGGAGGGCTGGATCACAGCATGGTGCCCCTTGCTGGGCTCTGCCCCCAGGGTGGGGGAGTGGGCGCTGCCCCCTGCTGTACAGATTTCTTCCTCCTATTTATCTCTTGCCAAGCGGGGGGGGCCCCCCAGAGAACTCTATATTTTTATGCAGAGGCGCTGCGGGCCGCTTTGCCCGTGGAGGGCACCTGGCTCCCCCACCTCCCTCGCAAGTGCCACACGGGGGGTGCTGCGGGCGCCCGTCCGCTCTGTACTCCCGGGGACGTTGGTTATTTTCAACTGTACTTGAAAGACAGACAGCTCTGTAATAAATTTGTAGCAATGTTTAGTATGGGGGGCTCTGCCTGTTTGTGGGGGGGTTCCCTCACCTCATAGCCCTGGGCTCCCCATCTCCTCCCTCAACCACCTCTGCCCCCTTGTGCTCTGCTGGGGTCACACCAGCCTGAATCAGTTCTATCCCCTGCCATCAGCTGGAGGGGGGCAACTCTCAAGTCACCTCAACTGTCTGCCAGTTCCCTGGGGCTCTGCGGCCCTGCCCTAGGCTGCCGCCTGTCCCCCTCTCTCTTGCTGCTTCCTGGGGCAGGTGCCCCAGGGTTGGCCCCTGGCCCAAGGGAGCAGGCTGCTGCCTATGGCGGGGAAGGGGGCTGTGGATTCCTGCTCCTGGCAGCAGTATGGGCCTGCAGCCTGGGCCAGGCTCTGCAAGGGCTTCTGCAGTGTAATGCAGCCACTTCTGGCCCAGGGCAGGGGGGACACAGCAGCCCAAACACAGCTTGGCTGGGGCTCAGACGTACCCAGCTCTGGGGGGGAGCCTGGGCCACAGCTACACTACTGCAGGGGCATGTGAGCAGTACCCCCCTGTCCCTCTCAGGCTGCAAGGGCTGGGCCCCTTACTGATGAGCAATTAACACTGGGGTGGGTGCAGCTGTGTCACTCTCATTCACCCTGCCCCCATCCCTGCCTGGAGCATGGGGGGGGTGGGCCCTTGTGAGGGCTCTGTCACTCTCACCCCCCCCATCCCTGCCAGGGGCAGGCCTGGAGCACAGGGGGCTGTGAAGTCATGACCTACACCCCAGGGCTCACCCCCAGATTTTGAAAACAAGTGAGGGAAAAGCTGTGGGGGCTGCCTGAGGGGGGCTTTGCCCTCTGCACCCCCAGACAGGGCTGGGGGCCCCAGAGATTCCCCCAGGCTTGCCCCCTTGCAGCAGGGGTGGGGGTGACTCCCTCCAACTCTGGAACACTGTCCCAGGGAGCAAATCCTGGAGGGAGGGTGGCCCCTGGGGGTGTGGTGAGGGACTACCCCCCCCCCCAAGGTGCTAAATGGGGGGTTGTGCCAATCACCACCCTCCTGCACCCAGCCTGACCCCCAATCTCTGGGCATGGGGGGAAGGGGCAGACAGCCCCCAGGAGTCCTCTGCTTGCTCCAACACAGCAGCCTAGCCCCCAAATGCCCACTCACCTCCCTGAGTCCTGGCTTCCAGCCCCCCATCCTCCTCCTTCCTAGAGTGGGGGGGGAGAACCCAGGAGTCCTGGTGCCCAGATTCCAGCAGGAGTGGGGAACAGGGGCTCTCTAGAGCTGCACTCAGAGGGGTAAAAATGAAGCATCCTCCAGCCCCTGCTCCATACGAGGTACCAGGAGAACCCCGGGCTCTGGGCCGGCTCCGCAAGAGGCACCGGTGCCTCACCAAGAAAACAAGCAGCTGCTTCCCACACCAGGAGTCGAACCCGGGCCGCTAGACCATGGGGGACAGGCTGGTTACTGCTTGGGCCTGGGGCCACCCAGCACCTCCCGCTGGGCAAGGAGGGCACTGCACCATGAACCCCTCACATGCTGCCATGAGCCCCTCCCCTCTTAGCAGGGACCCCACGGGCTCCCAGGCAGTTAATCCAGAGTCACGCCGGAGCAAGCCCTGACCCCCTTGGAGAGACAGGGCAAGTCTGCTTGGAACAGCCGAGATCACAAACCAGCCAGAACCAAGGAGTCCTGGCTCCCAGCCCCTGTGCTCTAAGCACTAGACCCCACTGCCCTCCCAGAGCCAGGGAGAGAACCCAGGAGTCCTGGCTCCCAGCCCCCCTGCTCTAAAGCCTAGATCCCACTCCCCGCCCAGAGCCTGTCCTGTCCTTTCTCCAGGACGGCCCTGTCCCCGCGGGGCCCCACGCAGGCTGGGGGGCAGGGAAGAGGCAGAGTTTCTCTTGAACATTTCCAAGGCAGTTGGCATCTCCCAGTGCTGCCCCGAGCCCCCCCAGGCAGAGCACTCCCTGCAGCAGGGGCTCACGCGGACCTCGCAGGGAGTCGGGGGGACGCAGAGCAGGGCCCAGACCCCCCGGCAGGGACGGACAGACGGACACACCCGAGCAGCGATCCCAGTTTATTGACAGGGCTGTCGGAGGTCGCAATACGCCCTGCCCAGCGTGGGGGGTGCGAAAGCCCCAGGGGGGCATCGGCAACACTACCCCTCTGTGGCCAGCAGGTGGCGCCTTCTCTCCAGCAGCGCCCGATACTGCGCCCGCGTGGCCTGGAGGTCGCTCTGCAGGCTGGCGATCTCCCCGGCCAGGAGAATCCCTGCGGAGACACGGGGGTCAGCAGAGACGGGCCGGCTGGCTTGGGGTGGGGGGGGAAGAAATGGGGCCCGGGGCCTGTCCCCTCTAGGGGGCGCCCTGGACTCACCCTCTTTGAAGCTGCTCTGAGCCTGCCGGAGGCTCTGGGGCACCAGGATCCCGAACCAGGTCAGTGGGTCCTGGGATGAGGCCCCCTTCGGGGAATCAGGAGGTTCGGGGGCAGCCTCCAGGGGGGACCCAGGATCCTCCGTTTTCCCTGGGCCCTTTCGCTGCCGCAAGACTAGAGAGACGTTCAACAAAAAGGGTGTCAAAACTCCTCCCCCCCCCCCTGCAGCTCTGCTGCGCTCCTCACTCCCGACCCACAACCCTCTGCTAGCCCAGCCCTGACCCCCGACCCACAGCTCTGCTGGTGCCCCTCACTTCCAACCAGCAGACCCTGCTAGCCCAGCCCTGACCCCCCCCAGCTCTGCCGGTGCCCCTCACTCCCAACCCACAACCCCGTTAGCCCAGCCCTGAACCCCCCCCAGCTCTGCCGGTGCCCCTCACTCCTGACCCACAACCCCTGTTAGCCCAGCCCTGACCCCCCCGAGCTCTGCCCGGTGCCCCTCACTCCCAACCTGCGGCCCCCTGCCAGCTCAGCCCTGACCCCCACCCCCCCCGGCTCTGCTGGTGCCCTTCCCGACCCACAGCCCCCTGCCAGCCCCCTGCCAGCCCAGCCCTGGGCTCTCGGTGCAGTTCTTTGTCCATGAGTTCACCTTGGTCTTGGGGCCCGATTTCCTCCACGGCCGGTGACCCCTCAGCAGCCTCTGCGGACGGGTCCCATCCTTCTGGGATGACCTGGAAGGCGACCTGCCCGCTCTCCCCCTCGCTGGAAGGGGGAACCACACCACTGACCCCCTCTCTCGGTCTGGGGAGCGCCCCCTGCAGGTCGTTCACAGCCCGGCCCAGACGGGGAACCCCCACCCGAGCCGGGGCAGGTAAATCCTGGTTTATTGTTTTAAGACCAGGTCAGACAAACCCCTGTCTGGGCTGGTCTGGGGTGACTCGGTCCTGCCTCCGCGCGGGGGGCCGGACCTGGCGACCTCCTGAGGTCCCTTCCAGCCCCACATTTCCAAGAGTCTCTGGTTCCGGAAATTACAGATCGTGGGGGGGTGTTTCACCATTTCCGTGCCCAGCGTGAAACCAAGTCTGCTGGTGCCCCTCACTCCCGACCCGCAGCCCCCCGCTAGCCCAGCCCTGGGCCCCCCCCAGCCCTGCCGGTGCCCCTCACTCCCAACCCACAGCCCCTCGCTAGCCCAGCCCTGGCCCCCCCCAGCCCTGCCGGTGCCCCTCACTCCCGACCCACGGCCCCCTGCCAGCCCAGCCCTGGCCCCCCCGCCCCAGCTCTGCCGGTGCCCCTCACTCCCGAACCGCAGCCCCCTGCTAGCCCAGCCCTGGGCCCCCCCAGCCCTGCCGGTGCCCCTCACACCCGACCCACAGCCCCCTGCTAGCCCAGCCTTGGGCCCCTGACTCCCGACCCACACCCCCCGCTAGCCCAGCCCTGGACCCCCCAGCCCTGCCGGTGCCCCTCACTCCCGACCCACAGCCCCCTGCCAGCCCAGCCCTGGCCCCCCCGCCCCAGCTCTGCCGGTGCCCCTCACAGTGAGCCCCCCCAGCCCTGCTGGTGCCCCTCACTCCCAACCCGCAGCCCCCCGCCAGCCCAGCCCAGCCCTGGGACCCCCCCAACCCTGCCGGTGCCCCTCACTCCCGACCCGCAGCCCCCCGCCAGCCCAGCCCTGGGACCCCCCCAGCCCTGCCGGTGCCCCTCACTCCCGACCCGCAGCCCCCTGCTCTCACCTGGCGCGCACCCGGACCAGCGGCTCCATGCAGGCCCCGTACTGCAGGGCAGAGACCGACTTGCAGCCCATGGCGAAGCGGGACCTAGAGAGCGAGAACCAGCCCTGCATGGAGGGACACAATGAGGGGGTGTGAGGGGCTGCTGGGAGGGACACGCCGCCCCTACGAGACCCCCCCACCCCCAGGCTGACGGGGCTGCAGCTTGCCAGGCCAGTGCGCACAGGAGGGGGGCGGTTGATGCCCTGTGGGCGGCGAGAAGGCAGTGTGGGAAAGGGGGGCCCCAGGGGCAGTGGGGGGCCCTGAGGGGTAAGAAGGGGGGCCCCGGGGGTGGGAAGGGGGCCCCAGGGGTGGGAAGGGGGGCCCAGAGGGGTAAGAAGGGGGGCCCTGGGGGTGGGAAGGGGAGCCGCAGGGGCAGTGGGGGGCCCTGGGGGTGGGAAGGGGGGCCCCAGGGGACACTGGAGGTAAGAAGGGTGGCCCCAGGGACAGTAGGGGGCCCTCGGGGAGGGGAGACCCAGGGGGCAGTGAGGGGGCCCTGGGGGGTAAGAAGGGGGGCCCTGGGGGTGGGAAGGGGGTCCCCAGGGGCAGTGGGGGGGCCCCAGGGGCAGTGGGGCGCCCTGAGGGGTAAGAAGGGGGGCCCCAGGGGCAGTGAAGGGCCCAGAAGGATAAGAAGGGGGGCCCTGGGGGTGGGAAGGGGGCCTCCAGTAAGTAAGTAGGGGACCCAGGGGTAAGTAAGGGGGACCCCAGGGGCAGTAGGGGACCCTGGGGGTAAGAAGGGGAGCCACAGGGGCAGTAGGGGACCCTGGGGGGTAAGAAGGGGAGCCCCAGGGGCAGTGGGAGGGCACTGAGGGGTAAAAAGGGGGGCCCTGGGGTCCCCAGGAGCAGTGGGGGGCGCTGGGGGTAAGAAGGGGAGCCCCTGGGGCAGTGGTGGGGCCCGGGGGGGTAAGAAGGGGAGCCCCTGGGGGCGGGAAGGGGGGCCCCAGGAGCACTAGGGGGCCCTGATGGGTAAGAAGGGGGCCCTGGGGGTCGGAAGTGGGGCCCCAGGGGTAGTGGGGGGGCCCTGAGGGGTAAGAAGGGGGGCCCCGGGAGCAGTAGGGGGGCCCTGGGGGTAAGAAGGGAAGCCCCAGGGGCAGTGGGGGGGCCCTGGGGGTAAGAAGGAGAGCCCCACAGGGCAGTGGGGGGCAGTGGGGGGCCCTGGGGGGTAAGAAGGGGGCCCTGGGGGTGGAAAGGAGGGCCCCAGGGGTAGTGGGGGGGCCCTGAGGGGTAAGAAGGGGGGCCCCGGGGGTGGGAAGGGGGCCCCAGGGGCAGTAGGGGGCCCTGAGGGGTAAGAAGGGGGCCCTGGGGGTGGGAAGGGGGCCCCAGTGACCATGGGGGTAAGAAGGGGGGCCCAGGGGCTGTAGGGGGGCCCTGGGGGGTAAGAAGGGGCCCTGGGGGTGGGAAGGGGGACCCCAGGGGTAGTAGGGGGCCCTGGGGGTAGGAAGGGGGGCCCCAGGGGCACTAGGGCACCCTGAGGGGTAAGAAGGGGGGCCCCAGGGGCACTAGGGGGCCCTGAGAGGTAAAAAGGGGGGCCCCAGTAGGGGACCCTGAGGGGTAAGAAGGGGGGCTCCAGGGGCAGTAGGGGACCCTGAGGGGTAAGAAGGGCCCTGGGGGTGGGAAGGGGGCCCCCAGGGGCAGTGGGGGGGCCCTGAGGAGTAAGAAGAGCCTTGGGGTGGGAAGGGGGGCCCCGGGGGTGGGAAGGGGGCCTCAAGGGCAGTAGGGGACACTGGGGGTAAGAAGGCAAGTCCCAGGGGCAGTGGGGGGGGCCCAGGGGCAGTAGGGGGGCCTGGGACTGGGAAGGGGGGCCCCAGGGGCACTAAGGCGCCCTGAGGGGTAAGAAGGGGGCCCCAGGGGCACTAGGGGGCCCTGAGGGGTAAGAAGGGGGGCCCCAGGGGAAGTGGAGGGCCCAGAGGGGTAAGAAGGGGGGCCCTGGGGGTGGGAAGGGGAGCCGCAGGGGCAGTAGGGGACAGTGGGGGGAAGGGGGGCCCTGAGGGTGGGAAGGGGGTCCCCAGGGGCAGTAGGGGGCCCTGAGGGGTAGGGGTGGGAAGGGGGTCCCCAGGGGCAGTAGGGGGCCCTGGGGGTGGGAAGGGGGGCCCCAGCGGCATTGGGGGGGCCCTGAGGGATAAGAAGGGGGGCCCTGAGGGTGGGAAAGGGGGTCCCAGGGGCACCTGTGGGGTGCAATGGGGAGCCCCAGGGGCAGTGGGGAGACCCTGGGGGTAAGAAGGGGAGCCCCAGGGGCAGTGGGAAGGGGGTCCTCAGGAGCAGTGGGGGACCCTGGGGGTAAGAAGGGAAGCCCCAGGGGCAGTGGGGGGGCCCTGGGGGTGGGAAGGGGGGCCCCAGGGGCAGTAGGGGGCCCTGGGGGTGGGAAGGCGGTCCCCAGGGGCAGTGGGGGGGCCCCAGGGGCACTAGGGCGCCCTGAGGGGTAAGGAGGGGGGCACTAGGGGGCCCTGGGGGTGGGAAGTGGGGCCGCAGGGGCAGGGGTAAGAAGGGGGGCCCCAGGGGCAGTGGAGGGCCCAGAGGAGTAAGAAGGGGGGCCCTGGGGGTGGGAAGGGGGTCCCCAGGGGCAGTAGGGGACCCTGGGGGTAAGAAGGGGAGCCGCAGGGGCAGTGGGGGGGCACTGAGGGGTAAAAAGGGGGGCCCTGGGGGTGGGAAGGGGGTCCCCAGGTGCAGTGAGGGGCCCTGGGGGTAAGAAGGGGGGCCGGAGGGGTAAGAAGGGGGGCGCCAGGGGTAGTGGGGGGGCCCTGAAGGGTAAGAAGGGGAGCCCTGGGGGTGGGAAGGGGGTGGGGGGGGGGGGGGGGGGGGGGGGGGGGGGGGGGGGAGGGGGCCCCAGGGGTAGTGGGGGGGCCCTGAGGGTGGGAAGGGGAGCTGCAGGAGCAGTGTGGGGGCCCTGGGGGGGGAGGGCCCTGGGGGTGGAAGGGGGATGGGGGCCCTGGGGGTGGAAAGGCCCCAGGGGCAGTGGGGAGGCTCTGGGGGTAAGAAGGGGAGCCCCGGGGGCTGGGGCGGGCCTGGGGGTGGGAAGGGGGGCCCCAGGGGCAGTACAGGACCCTGAGGGGGAAGGGGAGCCCCAGGTGCAGTGGGTGGGGCACTGAGGGTGGGAAGCGGGGGTAAGAAGGGGCACTGGGGGTGGAAAGGGGGGTCCCAGGGGCACTAGGGGGCCCTGAGGGGTAAGAAGGGGGGCCCTGGGGGTGGGAAAGGGACAGTAGGGTGGCCCTGGGGGTGGGAAAGGGGGTCCTAGGGACAGTATGGGGGCCCTGGGGGGTAAGAAGGTGGGCCCTGAGGGGTAAGAAGGGGTGACCCAGGGGCACTAGGGGGCCCTGATGGGTAAGAAGGAGCGCCACAGGGACAGTAGGGGACCCTGTGGGTAAGAAGGGGAGCCGCAGGGGGCAGTGGGGGGGCCCTGAGTGGTAAGAAGGGGCCGCAGGGGCAGTGGGGGGCCCTGAGGGGTAAGAAGGGGGGCCCTGGGGGTGGGAAGGGGGGCTGCAGGGGCAGTAGGGGACCCTGGGGGACGGGAGCCCCAGGGGGGGCCCTGGGGGGGTAAGAAGGGGGGCCCCAGGGGCAGTAGGGGGCCCTGGGGGTGGGAAGGGGGTACCCAGGAGCAGTGGGGGGCCCTGGGGGTGGGAAGGGGTCCTGAGGGGCAGTGGGGGGGCAGTGGGGGGACCACAGGGGTCCTCAGGGGTAAGAAGGGGGCCCAGGGGCAGTGGGGGGACCACAGGGGTAAGAAGGGGGGCCCTGGGGGTGGGAAGGGGCCTGAGGGGCAGTGGGGGGGCCCAAGGGGCAGTAGGGGGCCCTGAGGGGTAAGAAGGGGGCCCGAGGGGCAGTAGGGGGCCCTGGGGGTGGGAAGTGGGTCCCCAGGGGCACTAGGGGGCCCTGAGGGGTAAGAAGGGGGGCCCTGGGGGTGGGAAGGGGGGCCCCAGGGGCAGTGGGGGGATGGGGTGGGACGGGGGGGCCCCAAGGGCAGTAGGGGGCCCTGGGGGTAAGAAGGGGAAGCCCCAAGGGCAGTGGGGGGCGGTGGGGAGAAGGGGAGCCCCAGGGGCAGTAGGGGACCCTGGGGGGTGGGAAGGGGGCCGCAGGGGCAGTGGGGGGCCCTGAGGGGTGGGAAGGGGGCCGCAGGGGCAGGGGGGGGGGCCCTGGGGGGTAGAAGGGGGCCCCAGGGTAGGGGGCCCTGGGGGTAAGAAGGGGGGCCCTAAGGAATAAGAAGGGGGGCCCCAGGGACAGTAGGGGGCCCTGAGGGGTAAGAAGGGCCCTAGGGGTGGGAAGGGGGGCCCCAGGGGCACTAGGGGACCCTGATGGGTAAGAAGGAGGGCCCTAGGGGTAGGAAGGGGGGCCACAGGGGCAGTAGGGTGCCCTGGGGTTGGGTAGGGGGGCCCCAGGGGCAGTGGGGGCCCTGAGGGGTGAGAAGGGGGCCTGAGGGGGTGAGAGCGGGCCCAGGGGCAGTGGGGGGATGGGTGTGGGAAGGGGGCTGGGGAGCCCCAATGGAGTGGGGGGGCCCTGAGGGGGTAAGAAGGGGGGCCCCTGAGGGGTGGGAAGGGGAGCCCTGGAGGTGGGAAGGGGAGCCGCAGGGGCAGTGGGGGGCCCTGGGGGTGAGAAGGTGGGCCCCAGGGGTAGTGGGCGGGCCCTAAGGAGTAAGAAGGGGAGCCCTGGGGCAGTAGGGGGCCCTGGGGAGTAGAAGGGGAGCCCAGGGGGGGGTGGGAGGGGGCCCCAGGGGCAGTAGGGGGCCCTGAAGGGTGGGAAGGGGGCCCCAGGGGCAGTAGGGGGCCCTGGGGGTAAGAAGGGGAGCCCTGGGGGCAGTAGGGGGCCCTGGGGGTAGAAGGGGGCCCCAGGGGCAGTGGGGGGTCCTGGGGTTTGGAAGGGGGGCCCAAGGGGCAGTAGGGGGCCCTGGGGATAAGATGGGGGCCCTGGGGGCAGTAGGGGACCCTGGGGGAAAGAAGGGGAGCCCCAGGGGCAGTGGGGGGGCCCTGGGGGAGGGGAAGGGGGCCCCAGGGGCAGTGGGGGGGCCCTGGGGGAGGGAAGGGGGTCCCCAGGGGCAGTGGGGAGGCCCCAGGGGCACTAGGGCACCCTGAGGGGTAAGAAG